GTGCCTCCTCTGATTGTGTCTGTGCCTCCTCTGATTGTGCCTGTGCCCTCCTCTCCTGACATCACAGTTGGTTCACTGGAGATGTTTCTAGTCCTTCCTTGCTTGTACGAGTTCCTTTTCTTGTTGCTGCTACAAAATGCCTAACACAAATAACCCGAGAGAGGGATGGGAGAAGGAGGAAGGGAGGGGGGGTTTGTTTTTAGCTGGGCCTTTGCTCAGGCTATTGTTTTGTGGGATTCTCTGCTGTCTTATAAACTCTCCATTCTCTTGTGGCCGTGTGCCCTTTCTACTTCCTGGTCAAGTGAGGGTCTGTTGGGCCAAATGGGAGATGATGGCAGATGCTCCAGAGAGTGGGACCTCCGTCAGGCTCAGCACAGGGTAGGAGGAGGAGATGAGGAAAGGTGGAGTGGGGAGAGCTTGGGGCAGGCTCAGGAGGCCGTGATAGAGGGACAGCTGACAGCTCCAGCATGGAGAGTGTGAAGACAGGTGCATGAACTCGGACACGGGTCAGGCTCTACAGGCGACCTCGGTCCCCAGGTGTTAGGAGCTTTAGAAGTTCACACCTGGGCTATCAGGGGCCAACTGTGTTTCTAAGAAAACTCTGGAAACCATATGGAGTAAGGGAGGCCTGTCCAGGTGCCTCGCCAGGTCCCAAGGTACAAAAACTACAGCTGAAGGGGATCGGGCTGATGCTCGTCCCTGGCATCAGGGTTGGTGGGGGGGGGAGGGTGTCTCCCAGGGCAGGTGTCTTTGTAGACACGGCTCTGGATAATACTCATCTCCTTTCAGGGCCACAATAGCCACACTTTTGACCTGAAGTTGGTGTGGGTAGATCCTGGCCAAGACAAGTGAGTGACTTCCTCTGCCGGTGTCCCCGGACTTCCCTCCCTGTGCCCCATGATATCTGCTCACACCCCCAGGCTCTCACCAGAGCCCCACTGGGGCTCACTGGTCATCTCCGTCTACCTAGGTGTGTGCTTCGCATCCTCACACCCGAAGAAGACTTCTCCTTTTGCACCAGAGACCCGGAGGGCCAGGTGAGTGAGGCTGAAGCGTGAATGGTGGGGATCAAGTCAGAAGCCAGGGGAGGGCAGAGTGCCAGTCCTACAGGACTCAGAAGGGCATCAGAGCTATGCCTAGGGTTTGATGTGAGGTTGTTAGAGGAAAAGGAATTTCCCTAACTGAAGTAGCCGCCTAAGTCGATGCCTGTTCCCACCCTCTTGTGCAGCCCTCTGGATTGTCTAGTCCCCGGGCTATGCAAAGGATCTCAGGTCTGATGCCACACCAGAGAGGGGCAGTGTACTTGGGGGCAGAGTTACCTGTGGCAACAATGACATGTCCACTGTCTTCCTGTCCCCACCAGGTTGTCTGGCTGTGGAAAGTGACCCATGCTGTGTGCCAGGCCCTGCGTGGCAAGAAGGACTTCCCTGTGCTGGGGTCAGGCTCAGAGTCATCTGTACCTCCTGACTGCCGCTGTGTGGCCTATACTTTCCGCCATGAGGGCCGGCTCTACCAGGCTACCTATGAGGGTGATTGGTATTGGGCCAAGCCCCATGGCAAGTGAGTCACCATTGCTATGTGCACTTCCAGCCGGTCATCAGAAAGGAGTATACTAGACATTCCATTGGCTAGGCGTTTTCTCAAGCTTGGCATTGACCTCCTGTGGTTCAAGGGGAAAGAGAGATGTGGATGTTTCCAGGGTTCTCCCCATGGGAGGTGCCAAGAGTACCCCAGTGACCCCCAAGGCTGCTGGTGCAGGAGGTGGGGGGGTTCTGTGATTGATTTCAGTGCTCAAGTGAGGACTAGGTGAGCAGAAAGTCTAGTTGGAAGACCTTAGGGTAGAGGGAGGGAGGGACGCCGAGAGTCTGGGGGTGCAGCTGTCTAGGATGGGTCTAATGGCCTGATGTAGACCTCACCTGTGTTCCAGGGGAACCCTGAAGTGGCCAGATGGTCGGAACCACGTGGGGGATTTCTGCCAGGGCCTGGAGCATGGGTAAGGCTGACTGGGCAGATGCTGGCACATGGGGCAATCAGAGGAGTTGTCATACATTGGTTTGCCCCAAATCCCCAAACCTCAAACGAGAGTGGGCAGGTAGCTCAGCTCCTCACCCTATTCCAGGGAGACCTGGCTGGAATAAGAATGTGGGTCTTGGTCTGAGACTGGCTTCCCATGGGTGTGGGGTGGGCTGTCCTTAGGGATTCTGCAAGGGGACTCTGAGATCTTCGGTGCTTTCTGAGGGACTCCTCCGAGACAAGGACAACTGGATAGCATGGAGGGATGTGGTAGGGACATCTGATTGGGCAAGTGGCCTGGATACTCACCTCTAACCCCACTCAACCACACGGTCAGCTTTGGCATCTGCCTGGTGCCCCAGGCCTCTGAGGACAAGTTTGACTGTTACAAGTGCCACTGGAGGGAAGGCAGCATGTGTGGCTATGGCATCTGTGAGTAAGTGACCTTTGACCTGTGGGAAGAGGAGCGGGGAGGGGCATTCTCTGGACTGCGCTCCTCGAGGTGGAGCCAACTGTTGGCGAATCTCTCCAGGTATGGCACTAACGAGGTATACAAGGGCTATTTTCAGGCTGGCCTTCGGCATGGATTTGGTGTCCTTGACAGTGCCCCGCAGGCCTCCCAGTCCTTCAGGTACACGGGCCACTGGGAGAGAGGCCAGAGGAGTGGCTATGGCGTTGAGGATAACAAGGAGAGGTGAGTGCTGGCAGAGAGACCCCTCAGCCTTTCGCCTTGTTCTGTCCTGGGTGCTTGCCTCCGTGGTACTTCCCTCTACCTCTAGGGGGCTCCACCCAGCATGCCTTCTCCTAAGGAGGATTCCCTTTTCTGCCATTCTCCTTGGATTTCTGACTTCATCTTCTGTTACCCCTTGCCTCCCCGAAGTCCCTGCCAGCAGAGCATTCAGCAGGCACAAGGGAACCGATCTGAGCCCCCTCTCACATGCCCTCTTCTCTTAGGGGTGAGCGCTACATTGGCATGTGGCAGGCTGACCAGCGTCATGGCCCTGGGGTCGTGGTCACCCAGGCAGGTGTCTGCTATCAAGGCACATTCCAAGAGGACAAGATGGCCGTGAGTGGTAGCCCCCTCCCTGGGCACTCTGTAGCTGAATTAAAGTCAGGCGGAGTGGATGGCAAGGGACGCTCAGCTCCTCCACCCGTCTACTCTGACTTTGGCAGGATCCAGGCCTTTTAGCCCCGTTTCCCTTATCTTCAACTCAGGTCAACCGTGCTTATTGTACACATGAGCTAGGAAGAACCAAGCATGTCATTGGCGAGCTAGTGGCATCCATAGACCCCCTCACTGGCCCTCGCTGAACCTCCATTATCCTCCTGGGGTCCTTGTGTGACTCCTGCCATTGATGCCATTATTCTTAGCGTATGGATGGCACGTTTATTAACGGCATCAGAGAACCTGCCCAACTTCACATCCTGCCGAGACTGATCCCTAGTCCCTCAGCTCTTACCTTTTGTCTCCCTGCTGGCCAGGGGCTTGACGCACGGTGGGGCTCTGGCCAATAGCTATGCACGGTTTTGTGGGTTGGTTGTTTAGACTCCACCTTGTTCTGTAAAGAACCCAAGGAAACCTCAAGGGGAAGGGGAAGGCAAGGCAAGCATAGGCCCACAAACTAGAGTCAGAAACAAGCTGAACACGAACTCGTCTGAGTTTCCTGGCAGGTGCAGTAGAAAGGGGACTTGATTGGCCCTGAGGATCCAGGGCAGTGACAGGGAAGCAGAGGCAGCCAGCACTTCCTGAGGAGGACTCTCATCTGAGGGCTAACTAGGGGAAACAAGAGGTGGGGTTCAGGGGACTCAGCACCTGGGGAGGGCGGTGCCAGAGCTTGGATGCTCTTGGCCTTGTGGGCCAGTGCCTACCCATCCTGGTTTTCTGTCCAAACTCACCTCCCTTTCTCTCTTCTCACTTCCTTTCAAGGGCCCAGGCATCCTACTGTGTGAGGATGACTCTCTGTACGAGGGCACTTTCACCAGAGACCTGACACTCCTAGGGAAGGTGAGAGCCTCCGCATCTCATCCGCCCCACCCCGTAAAGCCAGGGCTCAGAGCTGAGGGTGAAGGTAAAGAATGGGCAGCTGGCAGACACCCCTCCCGGCTCTGTGGTGTCTAAGTCCTTGCCATGCTGCTTGCGGTACTGACTAACAGAGCAAGGTGACACAGGACTGGAGAATTTACCTCATGCCCAGAGGTGCACAGGCTGGCTGTGTCCATGCTGTGCCCTTACACAGTCTTCACCCCCGCCCCAGCCTTCAGCAGCTGGCCCTGGGGTAACTGTTCTTTCTTTCTTCTTGCCTAAGCTGATGAGCAAAAGGCAGTTGCGTCCATGTTGGGTCCTTTGGGAACCTGGGGGATAGTTGGATGTAGAAGGATGGAGCAACTCCACACAGCAAGAAATTGCCTCTCTAGATCCCTAGTCTTACAACGGAGGTGGGTGAGACTTCTAGAATATTCCAGCACCTTGAATGGACAGGAGGAACACATGGGCAGACATTTCCATCTGACCCAAGTAGGTCAACATTGACACAGTTGTCTAGGTAGCTGGCTGGGCACACAATTATACCTGGTCTCCCTTTTTGCTCCCAGGGCAAGGTCACCTTCCCCAATGGTTTCACCTTGGATGGCTCCTTCAGCGGTGAGACAGATAAAGGACTGTACACACAGGGAGTGCTGGACACAGCCGCCCTCCCGCCCAACCCAAGCAGCACACGCAAGAGGTGAGAGCTCAGCCTATTCGGCGGTGTGTGTCTCTTCCCACCCAAGGCCCCAGGGCTCAGTGGAGGCCTTTAACCAAGTCCAGAGTCCCAGGTCTTCCAGCCAGAGACTCTTGAAGTCTAGGGCTAGGTGGATGTACTGCCATACATAAACTGGAAGAAAACTAGGATTTGTAAGTCTCACTTTGATCCTGGTTTTAGCTTTTCTTTTCTTTTTTTCTTGTTTTCGTTGAGCTGTACGTTTTTCTCCAAGGCAGCTTCTAAGTCAAACACACAAGGGAAAAAATAGAAAATAAAGCTGTGAGTGGATCTTAAAAGAGAGAGATAGACACACAGTTACAGATAGTACCCCTTCCTGCCTCTGACTTCCTGGGCAGCCAAAATGAAGAAGGAAAGAAACTCTCTCCTCCACAAGCAGTAGTTTGTGAGACGGATTATTTTCCCACGAAAGCAGAACCCCCTATTGGAAACCCATAGCTTTCAAAGTCACCCTTGCCATTTGTGTTGAGAATCTGGGTGTGTTGAAGGAAGAATAATGGAAAATGGTCCTGGATGGAGTTTCAGAGGTCAGGAAGGGGTCCAGCGAGCTCATTTACCTATTGACCCTGCATGTGACTTCTCATAGCAGGAGCTGGGAGAGGCAGTGGTCCTAGGGAGGTCTGCCCCTGCCTGGCTGGGTGTAGGTGTGAGGTACCTGTGAGGTGACGGCACGATAGAGTTCCTTTTGTGAGACGCTGCCTATTAGACTTAGAGTTGGGTCTCACTCATCCTGTGGGCAACGCAGGACCCACAGCAGGGAGGCTATGGGAGAGGACAGGACAGAGCGAAAAACAGGGAAATCCTGGACTTCCAGGCACTGGTCTGTCTTGATCCAAGACCTGCTCTCCGGATTTGACCTCCAGCTCCCGAGGCCTTTTGCAGACAATGTACCCTGTCTCTCCTCCATCTCAGAACACACGCTCTTGCCCCTCTGCCTCGTTTTTCTCTTCCACTTGCCTTGGAGGTCAACTCTGTCTGCATTCTTCATCCTGCCCCCGTCCTGGGACCTGACTCCAGGCCAGGCTGGCCCCACCAACCCTGCCTGCCCCAGGGGCTTGCTGACTTGCCCCTGTCTTCCCCATCTTTTGCTGTTCCCCAATCACAGACAGCTGGGGCTGGGTGCCTTCCCTGTGGAGAGCCACTGGCAAGGCGTCTACAGACCCTTCCAGGATTTCGTGCGGTCAGGCTGTCCGGGGGAACTGCAGGAAGCCCTGCTGGGCTTCCACATGCAGAGCTCCAGGGAGCTCCGTGAATCCCAAGAGTACCTGTGCTGTGACAGGTGAGTTTGGCCCTCTGGATGTCCCTGCAGGTCAGAGAGGGGTTAGGGAAGCTGCTGGGGCTGGGTGCCGGCTCAGGGCTGGGTGAGGGACATTGTGCATGGTGCCCCAGGAGCCACCCCAAGGACTGTGCGGGCAGCATGGAAGATATCCTGAAGGAGCTGCTGCAGTACCGCGAGCCCCAGGCCCTGCAGCAGTACCTCAGGAAGGTGAGGGTCCAGGCTTGGGCATGGTGCTCCTGGTCCTCAGAGGGCCTCAGTGTTCCCGGTCTGGGAGGCAGGTCCGGGCACCCTGGACTCCACATCCCAGCTCTGAGCATCCCCGTTGTCTTCCCCGGCCTAGGCTCTGAGCAATCCCCGACACCCCCTGGGGAAGTTACTCCGTACCCTGATGCTGACCTTCCAGGCTACATATTCAGGCATAGGAGCCAACAAACACCTACAGGGGATGGCCCAGGAGGAGGTGAAGCAGCATGCCCAGGAGCTTTGGGCTGCCTACAGGTGAGCCTGTGCATAGGGTGACGCGCACAGCCTCAGCACTGGCCAGGGATTACCCTTTCCAACCAAGTCTTGCTCAGTACAGGACCAGGGGTTGGTCAGTGTGTCAGTGGTGACCAGAGGTGTCAGAGATGTCAGCAAGGGCTTTCAACAGCTCCTGGCCAGGGACCAATCCCTGTCTAGTCCCTGGTCACACCCCTGACCCCATAAGAACTCTACCCTTGCTGTAGGCTGAGTGTGATTTCAAGATCTGTCTATCCTGTCCCAGGGAGAGCCTAGATCCTATGAGCATTAGCAATAGGGCTTCAGCAGCCACTAGAGTGCTAGCACCCTCCAGCGCTTACACTAAAGCTCCAGCCTTGGACCCCCAGTGGCAGGAAAGGCTAGACTCTGAAGGCATCCCATCCAGATCGAGGCAGCCAGTTCTGGGAGATGGGACCACCTGCTCTCCGTTTTGATGACTGGGAGGGTGGAATTCTGTTTCTGTGAGCAACAGCACATGATGCTCTCCTAATTGGCTTGCAGAGGTCTGCTGAAGGTTGCCTTACAGCGCCAGGGCCAGACCCTGCAGGAGGAGGACGTGGAGACAAGGTACCTGGCCAGGCCTTTGCATTTGGGGCCTCCGTCTGGGTGGCAGTGCTTCTTTGGAAAGCACTGGGCGTGTATGGTATTCACCAGGCATGGTGCACTGGCTATTATACATCACAGTGACCCATGGCCTTGGTCCTGGGATCGTTGTCTTAAATGTGCCCTTCCAGCCTCATCTTTGAGTTGGACAGAGGTGGAAACAGTTGCCAGTGGCTTCCACCTTCCTGTGCACTGCAAGACTGAAGCGTGGAGGAGATGAACCTAAAGCCACATAGAGCAGGAGTTAGCTGTCCCAGGGACAGACCCCTGCCGGTTCTGGAGATGCAGAGGTGGCCCTGTGACAGCAGTGTCTCCCACCCATTCTGGCCCCTCAGGGACTTGCAGGTGCATGGGCTGCTGCTGCCCCTCATCTTGCCCAGCTTCTACTCAGAACTCTTCACACTCTACCTGCTTCTTCATGAGAGAGAGGATGGCTTGTACAGCCAGGGCATCACCAGCCTCAGCCTGTTTTCCGACACAAAGCTGCTGGAGTTCCTGGATGTGCAGAAGTAAGCTCCTCGCTTGCTTGCTCGCTCAGCCACAGCTCTAGGGGAGCAGGCAGTTCTACCCAACCTCAACTGCGAGGTGGACCAGGCTTTCTGACCAGGCTTCTTTTGGGCCACCAACCAGCTCCCAACTCATGACAAGGAGACTTCTTATTAGTTATAAACACTCAGCCTTAGCTTGGACTTGTTTCTTGCTAGCTCTTATAACTTAATCTGTTTCTGTTCATCTACATTTTGCCTTGCAGCGTTTTTACTTTTCTTTCCTTTTGTATATCTTACTTTCAATGCTTCTTATGTCTGGCTGGTGGCTGCCTGGCTTCTGGCCCCAGGGTTGTGTCCCTCAATTCCTCCCTCATTCTCTTCCCTCAGAGCCTAGATTTCTGTTTATTCTCTCTGCCTGCCAGACCCGCCTATCCCTCTTCTTCCTAGCTATTGGTTGTTTAGCTTTTTCTTAGACCAATCAGATCCCTTAAGCAGGCAAGGCAAAACAAATGCAACACATTTTTACATAATTAAACAAAGGCAGCGTAAACAAATGTAACACATCTTTGCCTAGTTAAAGGAATATTCCACAACAGTGAGGAGGCTCTCTCTGTCTCTCTCTGTCTCTGTCTCTCTCTCCCTCCCTCCCTCCCTCTCTCTCTCTCTCTTTTAATGTACATTGGTGTTTTGTCTGTATGTATGCCGTGTGAGGATGCCACATCCCCTGGAGTTTACATACAATTGTGAGCTGCCATGTGGATGCTGGGAATTGAACCTGAGGCCTTTGGAAGAGCAGCCAGAACTCTTTAACTGCTGAGCCATCTCTACAGCCCTGAGGCATGCTCATTTATACATACACCACAGATCTCTGGGAAACAGATGTGACCAGATCTAGGTGTGCATCCACCCCACAGAGGACATCACCTTTGCTCTTCCCTCTGACTTTGCCAGAGTACTGCACCAGCCACGTCGGGGTTACTGTCTTCTGACTCAGCCCCTCACTGTCCCTAGAGAGCGCTGGCATTTCCTGCCCCTTTAACTCCGCTAGTGCACTTGGAGCTCCTCCTGGCTTGGTGTCCTACCCTGGCTGCTGGCCAGCATTGACTGGGCCTGCCTCCCGATCCACCACTGAGGTCCATACACTTGGACTGAGAGCTGGGGAGGAGAGGTCTTTGAGGGGAAACGGGATGTCCTGGGAGCAGGTCAGACAGGTGCTCAGCATACTCTAGTCGCTAGAGTATGGTGCCTCCCTTGCTCTCCCCCACCCCTACTGCCTCTAATACATCCTTCTTCCCTAGTGCCCCCCCCCCATGGCATGTGCACGTCCCAGGTGCTTGGTTGGCCCTGCTGGGATCTCTCACTCTCCTCCAAAGCCCAGGGCCCCTTTGTCACACAGCAGTGGAAGATCACTTCCTTCAGGACCTTATGGCTTCTCCTGGCCTCAGGCGGTGTGTATTTACCTGAGGTCCCCTCTGTTTAGCCTTCCTGGGAGGAACATAGAAATAGGAAACTGTCCTCTGAGCTCAGACTTGCAAAGCCTCTCATCTCTCTCCCAATTTCAGGCACCTGTGGCCCCTCAAGGACCTCTGGCTAACGAGCAATCAGGTGAGAGGGCAGCGCTCTGCTTGTCTGGGAGGAGGGGCCTGGAGCTTCTGAGTCAGGATTGCCTGGGGAGAGGCAGGTGATGGAGGGGACCCTAGGCTTCCTTCCTGTCCCAAGTGACTCCCATACAGCAGGCTCTTCCCTTCTGGCTGGGACTGTGAGTGACTTACCTGAGGTCTGAGTGCCAGTTTTTTCCTGTGTAAATAGAGCTCCACCAGACCCACCTCATCAGACAGCCGTGGTCAAGGGCATGTGAGGCCCCTGGCTGTCTCAGGACCCTCTGGAGCCTCCCAGGGAAGCAGATTCTTGGGCTCCACTCCACAGTTTTTGCATTGCTAGGCAAAAACTACTAGCTACTCATATTCATGGTCTTACCTTACCTCCATAGAGGCAAAAGGCAGGGGTCTGCTCAGAAACCTGAGTTTTAGCAAGTCCTTGGGTCTGGGGACCATTGACATCAGCTTTGGAGCTATATGTCACCAAGTGACCTTGGCTGTTCAAAGGATTGTTTTGTTTTTTCTGTCCTCTCAACCTCTTGGAGCCTCGTCCCCCATTTTATAGCCACGTAAAGTGAAGCTCACAGTGGAGCCGTGGGCCTGCCCTGGATCACTTAGCCATATAGTGCAGGACTGTACTGAAGTCACCATTGGGGCAGGTGTGGGTGGCAAGGGACCTGGGGATGAGCGTGCCAAGCCGGATCCCTGTTTTACCCTCCTCTTCACCTTTACAGAGATATTCTCTCGTCCGGGACAAGTGTTTCCTGTCAGCCACGGAGTGTCTGCAGAAGATCATGTGAGTGTCTGCTCAGGTTTGGGGGCGAGGGGGTGGCGGTATGTAAGGGCACAGGTGTGCTGTCCCTTCTCCTCCTTGACCGGGAGCTACACCCTCTGTACAGCACCACAGTGGACCCTCGCGAGAAGTTGGAGGTGCTGGAGAAGACCTATGGGGAAATTGAGAGCACGGTGTCGCGGGTGCTGGGCCGGGAACACAAACTCCCCATGGATGACCTCCTGCCGCTGCTCATCTACGTGGTGTCGCGAGCTCGGTGAGTGGGAAGCGGGCTGGGTGGAAGTGAGACTCGTTCCCACCCTATCTACACCAAGCGCAGGACAGAGCTGGGGCCATTCCAGAGGCGTCTAGCCCTCTAGGCCAGGGCTGCTCCCCCAGCTGTGGGGTATCTGTCTGTAACTCCCCTCTTCTTCTCTCTTTTGTGGTTCTCTAGAATTCAGCATCTGGGAGCTGAGATCCACCTGATCCGTGACATGATGGAGCCCATCCACACAGGGGGCCTCCATGACTTCCTGCTCACAGCCTTGGAGGTGAGGGACCAGGCTGGGAGCCCAAGGACATGTCTCCCTGCCCCCAACACCCTCAAAGCTCCACCATGTGTGTCTCCATGGGAGGGGTCTCTGGTGCTGTTCTCAGGGCAGATGGGCCTCACAGCCCTTCAGGCTGCAGCCCCGAGCAGCTTGCAGAGGGAGGGAAAGCCTCTGTAGAATCCGGCTGACAGCTGGGCCTCACTGGAGCAGTGTGCGTATAGGCAGGTGGGGGCGATGGCTCTCGGGGCCTAAGACCATGCCTATAGTGGGGAGCAGGTCTGCCAGCAAGTTCCAAACTTGCTCATCTCTCTTCCCCAGTCCTGTTACGAGCACATCCAGAAGGAAGACGTGCGGCTGCACCACCTGCCTGGCCACTGGAACTCCAGGGAACTCTGGTGACTCTGGGCCAAGCGCAAAGCTAGGGGCCACATGGCTGCCGTGGACTTTGGTGGAGCAAGCACTACCCACCTGCCCCCCATTGCCTGGGCCAAGGCAGGCTGTGGAGATGGTGTTTTGCTTCCTACAGGGACACGCTCAGCTGCTGCAGTGTGACCCCATAGCTGATAGCTCTCTGTTGGCCTCTGGTCTGGGCTTTGATCATCTTGTCCCTGGATGTAGCCCCATCTTGGGTGAGGAGCCCCAGCTTCACCCTGCCTCAGCCCTTGCTCAGTAGCCGTCAGTCTCCGGTCTGCGTGCCTATGATGGTGGAGATGACTTCCAGCATTCTGACAGGCCAGTTCACTGAGCGCTGCAGCCCTTCCCCAAGGTCTGGCTTCATCCTGTTCTTTGGACTGAAATGGAAATTCTCACGTTACTGTTCATCTCATTTCTGTTTCTCTGATCCTGGCTAGAAGGTCCTAAACTGCAGAAGGCTGTCTGTTCCGTTCCTTTTCCCATGAGTCTCCAGGGCCTAGGGACCTGCCTCCTCCTCAGCTGGCCTCAGGAGGACCCTGTGGCCGGAACACCTCAGCTCTCTGCCAAGCTACCTAGTTGCCTCTGGCAGGCCCTGCTCTTGGCGAAGGCATGGGACCTAGATGTCAGCAGTCACTCACCTGGCCTCGCTTGCCAGCAGACTGCAGGTGACCCATAAATGACATACCTGAGACACTGTGATCTCTGTGGGAGGGACAGCAGGGATATTAGAGACTTGCTAGTGCCCTGACATACGAACATCTCTGACTCAGGACCATGCGCAAGACTGGGCACAGTGCTGGGCTCTGGGTCATTGTGTCTGGCTCCGGGAATTCAGCCTGTGTGAGAAGAGCCAAGAGAGACATTGAGAAAGGAAGGTACACACCCAAGGCCAGGGCTAAGGCCCCTGGGAGCATCAGGGAACACTACTCAGGGAGGATCACTTCAGAGCCTCTCAGAAAGTATGAGCACTACTCAGGGAGGATCACTTCATAGCCTCTCAGAAAGTGTGAGCACTACTCAGGGAGGATCACTTCAGAGCCTCTCAGAAAGTGTGAGCACTACTCAGGGAGGATCACTTCAGAGCCTCTCGGGAAGTGTGAGCACTGTGTGAGTGTGAAGAGAGGCTGTTCTCCTTCACTGCCATCTCTGACTGGATCTACCACCAAATGTTCCAGCATGAACATAGGACCTGGGCTTGAGTTCTACCAGGAACTTGTGTCCCCACGAAGGTCTTTGGAAAGGTCACATTGATGGAGGCCCCTCCCTCAAAGGCAGCCCCGAGTGCCTGTGACTCAGTCCAGCTGCTGACAAAACCCTGCCACCCACTCTTCTGCTTCCAACACTAACTGAACTTGGGCCTCTGGTTCTTGTGGATCCACAGGGTTTTCACAGTGTCCTGGGAGGTTCCAGGAGCTGGCAGGGCTGTAGCAGACCCTTGAGACAAAATCAACGTGTGAGGAGGATGCAGGAGGAAAACTGACCGACAGTGCAAGTGGGTACCAGTCAGTCACCCACATCTGGTGCATCCAGAGGCTGGCGGGGCCATCTCAGTGATGGCCTGTCCCAGATGGATTCTTTTATAGCCTTTATAGCCTTTAACTGTCCAGCCTAGAACACCTCCTGGTTTTTGACACGTAAGCCATGCAAGAGGACAGTCTTGGGAGTTCACGGTTGCTTGCTGTCATCAGTACCCTTACTGCCATAAGAGAATCCAATCCGCAGGCCAGATGTCACTCCACCTCACTTCATGACTTCCTAGAAAGTAGGCCTGGAGTCTGGAGGGAAGACTGAAAGATGGGACATGGTGTGGTTAGCGTCTCTTACATCTATGCCGGCCTTCTTCATTTCCCCTTCTGCCTCATAATGGTTTGGGTTTTTGCTAACTGCCCCTCTGGGGGATGGTCACAGTTACAGTCTACTTATTCTGGATTTTTAATAAATCCATTTCATCTTTGTGTATGTGTGTGTGTGTGTATGTATGTGTGCACATGCGTGTGCATGTATAAAAGCAAGAGCTAATATAAGGCATCTTCCTTGATCATTCTCTACCTTATATTTTGGAGTAGGGTCTCACCTTGAGCCCAGGGCTCATTGATTCACCTTGGCTGGCTCACAGCGAGCCAAATGGGGCTCTCCTATCTTTGCCACCGACCGCAGGTCTGCAGCTGCAGGTGCACACCTCTGTGCTCATTGGGTGCTGGGAACAGAAGTCAGGTCACCATGCTTGCACAAATGCTTTACTGACTGAGCCACCTTGGGTCCCCCACACTCCATTTCATCTTTCATGGCACCCTCCTGCCTGTGGGGGGCAGGGAGCATGTAATGCTCACAAATGTCCAAATAGCTGTCCCCTGGCAGAACTTTTAGACATAAGAGGGACAAGGGCCATGTTCAGAAGCAGTAATATTGGGAATAGAGTTTGCTTTCACTCTGTAAATCGGGATTGTGTCCTTTCCACAAAGGGTATGTATTGTGCGCTGTGTTCAGGGGTACTCCCGGGAGGCCAGAGGGTCCACAGAGCTTGGTAGGATTGAACTATGCATCTAGTGTTCCTTTATCACTCGGCTGTGAATTTGGTGTTTGAGCACATTTGCCAGGGTCCCTGAAATTTATGTGTTGGGTTTTGGTCCAGTCTTGAACACCAAAATATTGCCATGCCTGTGTGACATTGTGTTTGGGTGCCTGGGCATGCGTAATCAGGCATCTTGTTTGTTTGTTTTTTGAGACAAGGTTTCTCTGTGTATCTTTGGCTGTCCTGGAGCTCACTTTGTAGACCAGGCTGGCCTCAAACTTGCCGAGATTCGCTTGCTTCTGCCTCCCGAGTGCAGGGATTAAAGGCGTGCGCCACCACGCCCAGCTGATCAGGCATCTTGATGCTTCCACTGATGCTCATTGCCAGGGGCTCCTTCTCCACAAGCTCCGTGTGTGGTATGAACAGAGTGGGCCTGTGCTAGCCAGTGCCATAATGTTTGTCTTCGCGTGGTTTGGGCCTGGATCATCTGGCTTCCATTGACAGGTACCAGCTGACACTGGCAGCCCATTGACTTTTGGCTGTCCCTTGGTGAAAATGAACATGGCGTGTTTTCTGGAAGGATTCTTTCCAGGGCAAACATTGCTGACGGGACCTCTCCTCAGAAGGTAGTCCTTCTTGGTATAGCTTTGGTTTGTAACTACAGTCCTGATAGGCCTTTTAACTAAGCTCATCTATGTCAGGCCCAGGCTTTCTCGGGGAGCCTAAGGTGCTGTACAGACCTACCGTGGAATGGCTGTATGTGGAAGGTAGGAGTGTGTGTGGGGGGCCTTTTCTTACAAGTGGGATATCCCAATGATGACCAAATTAGCTCTATTTTCATATGAAGACAGATTTTTGCCTGGCACAGCCCACCTTATTGGGATTCCCCCTGCAGACTCACCTCTGATCAGGGATGCTGAGGGTAACAATATTCAGAAGACTCAGTGTCTGAAGAAGGACACTTAAAAGAAATCCCACACTAGCTCTGAATTGAGTTTAATAAAGGGTTATTTATTTAGGGGTAGACTCACAGATCACAATCCTCTGCTGGAACGGGAAATAGCAACCAAATCTCACAGCTGGAAAAGAGGCTGGATGGGTGCTTTACATTGGCATAAATAGTATAAGAGGCCACGCCCAAGTGGGCGGGTAACTTAAAGGCTACTGGCAGTAGGAATTCTACAGCAAGTGTTCTCCTGTGTCAGGTGCCCGAGTTTGGGATACTGAACAGTATGGATCACTCAATCATCACACTCCAAACACAAGGGAGCACGTTTGCTGAGTGCTGCCAGCTGCCTGCATGGGATTGCAATTTGCAGAATTACCACGGACCGTCGTGATTTTGAAGACTCCAGAAGACACTGAGGCCTGAGAGGGAGTGTTGTCTGCAGCTTCTTGGCCATTTTCCTTCAGCATGTCTGCCCCTACCAGCCCTTTAGGTAGAGTGGCCCCTAATCCCACCTTGTACTGTATACAGTTCCCCTGCAGTGAGGAAAGAGATGGTCTATGAAGACCAACAGGTAATCCCTGCTATCATGAGGCTGGGCCAGAGGAGCATGGTGCCCTCCCAGTCACCAACTGGTTTAAGTCATATCCTCATCAAGTGAGGGTGCTCCCCATTGGGAGCACTCCCTATAGTGAAGAGCTGGCTGCTGCTTGGAACCACATTAATCAGAGTGCCACTGGGAAGAGTGACTGTCTCCTCCAGCTCTGGATGCTCCCTCTGGCTGCTGAGCCTGGGCAGCTTTTAGGGATGATCCCAGGGATGCCCTGGCTCTCAGGAGGGACAGCACTCAGATGACCAGTTCCAGCTAGGCTCTGTGGTGAGCCTGTAAACACTCCTCCGTAGGTGGGATTGGGGAGGGACCTGCTTCCCTCCTCTCCTGGCTGTCAACTCTGCTGGTGGTGTGACCTCTTCTTACTGTGGGACAATTGTCTGTACCCTGTCAATTGGATTTTAATAAAATGCTGATTGGCCAGTAATCAGGCAGGAAGTACATCTTCTGTCTTTTCTCCAAAAGGCATACTTTCACTGGTGTCATTGTGTCAAGTGCACTGCATGAGGTGGTCCCTATAGGTTTATAGATTTGAATGCATGCTCACCAGGGAGTGACCTTATTTGAAAAGATTAGTAGGGATGACCTTGTTGGAGGAAGTGTGTCATTGAAGGTGGCTTTGAGGTTTTCAAAAGCCCAAGCCAGGCCCAGTGGCTCTCTCTCTTCCTGCCGCCTGAGATCTGGATGTAGAACTCTCAGCTCCTTCTCCAGCACCAGGTCTGCCTGCCGCCATGCTGAGAATGAACTAACCCTCTGAAACTGTAAACCAGCCCCGATGAAATGCTTTTCTTTATAAGAGTTGTCAGGGTCATGGTCTCTTTCCGCAGCAAGAAGACATTGACTAAGACAGTGCCTGAGTGGCAGGCTGGTGGCTAACACTGCTGGAGCTTCTGGTGGACGTGGCATGCCTCCATGAACCCTGCCATCAAAGAGGCACAAGACCCACATGGATTCAGTTTCTTTCACAAGGAGAGCAGAAGTGTGGTAACCACAATGTCAGCTCCCAAGGCCCAAGTCCTACTGTGTGACACAAATTGAGTGACCAGGGCCATCACACAGGCGGTGGGCTATCTAACCACTGTAGGGCTACTTCCAGATTATAGCCAGGCAATTTTGTAGCCTGTAGCAAAACCTGACGTGGTAACGGTGGTGATTGTGGTGGGAATGGTGATGATGATGATGATGATGGTTATAGATTTTGGTGTGGTGGTAGTAACAGTGGCCATGGTGGTGGTTGTGGTGATAGTGATGGTAATGGTGTGTATGTTAGAAAACTCTGCCATCAGCTGAAACTATGAAGGTGGATCCAAGGCCTCATAGTGACTACTCCTTCCCAGCATCTCTCTTCCCATTCCAGGGGCTGCTGCAGAGCTCGGCACCGACACATGTCAGACTGCCAGGGAGCCTCGCCTGAGTGGTCTGTGTGGAGATATGCAAGGTTCCCAGGGTGTCACAAAGAGTCAGAGCCCATTCTCCACTCCTACTTTACAGAGAGAGGTTGCATAGCACTCCCTATTCTCCTTGAGAATGGAGCGTCCCTTCATCCCTGACAGGCCCAGAAAATGCTCCCAGAAGTCCTGAGTGCTCTGTGCTTCCTTCTGCCATCCCCAACTCTGTTCTGACCGCATCCACCCAGTCCTGAGTACACATGCTTCTCTCCATACCTCCCCATGCCAGAAGGCATCCTTATCCAGGTTATGGCCACTCTCAAATGGACCCTAGACTTAGCCCCTCCTGTGCCTCGTCAGCTGTCCACACAGCAGCAGGAGGGAGCTTTGGGAAGCCCTCCAACAGCTTCCCAGAGCACCTGGAATCAAACCCAGTCCCTTTACCTCAGGCCACGTGGCTGCCTTGAATCTCTGTCCACTCCTCACGACTTCTGCCTTGTTTCCTTCTGGCTGCATTTACCATCTGTTTTAGTTAGCTCTACAGTCCCTGGTGCCCTTCCTCCAGCCCCTGAGCCCTGCTCTTCCGAACAGTCTCAGTCATGTCCTGCAGGTTTCCTGATTCCATAGCACTTCCTGCAAAAGCCCGCTCCCCCAGGGTCTACTGCATCTGCCGCTGCCTGCATCCTGTCACGTGTGTGTTTTGTCTTTTATGAGTGCATCTCCATTTTCTGCCCTTTGCTGGAGGGGACAGGGGAGGCTCTTCGCTCTCTCAGTCAGTACACCATCCCAGGGATTTGCAAATCCATCCCATGAAACCCTGATGATAGTAAAACTGCAGCTCCCAGACTCTTCTGCGTCCCTCCATCTACCTCCTTCCTCTTTCATGCAGATCAAAAACAACAAAAATGTTCAAAGCAACCAGGACTGCACAGTGTGGTGCTTGTCTGGGGCTACAGGGAGGGATCTGTGTGCTCCAAGGGGAGGCTCAAACAGTCAGGAGGACGACTGGAGACCCGAGGTTGGAAGCACTGTCTCTGTTTCTTCAGGAACCTTCCTCCTAGATTAGAGGGGTATACAGTCAATGAGAGAGGGCAGGAAAAGGGAATAACTAAGATTCCTAACAATCCGTAAAATTTCACTGGAAATCAGATCTAATTTCCATGGAACTGAGACTAGGTGAGGGGTGGGCAGGGCAATGGAGGCTGGAAATGAGTTTCAGATTCTTTACTCTGGTGCCGGTTTGAGAGGAAGACAAGAGGAGTCTGGAATGCCATCTCTTTTCTCACATCCATGGCCGAATTTGCTGAGAGGAAGATCCCTCAACCCACGACTGGATGGGGGGAAGCTGGGCAAAAGTGGGTCAGGGGTGTGGAGCTTTTCCTAGAGGGGAAGGGGAACCCAGCAACAAGGCTGTGTGAGGCTGGCTGTCTCCCTCAGCACCTAGTTTCAGAACAACCCTGTGGCTTGGTTGGGTGGTGGTGTGGGATATTTGCACACTG